CTTATCTTTTCTCTAAAATCATGTTTGGTGAGCGTTTTCTGGTCTAGCAGATGTGGATTCGTGTTCGCCATAATTTTTCCTATCACTAGCAATATCCTCGAGTGACCGTAGTTGGTCTGGTTCCAGAAATTCGATTCCTTTAATCTTAGGACACCCTTAGCGGCCAGATCCTTCAAGAGCCAGTCGATTGATTGAAGTGAAGTCCAAAATTACTTCTAGCACAGCTTGGCGCTGTGTTGTTCGTTGCTACAGTTGTACCTAGAGCTGCTAATCTATTAGTCTTTTTACGTAAGTAAGTACTGTTTCCCACCATAGCATAGGGAGTATATAAAGGGTGGTGACAATTTCGATGCTCAACATTGTTATCTCGGAAACTACTATTGGTACGAATTCCGTTAAATGGGACAAAGATTGTTATTCGTAGGTCACAATATTTAGATCACGCAAATATACGGGGATACAGAAAATGGAAATATCCTCAGGATTGCAACTGTATTTTTTTAATTCAGTATTAAATTTGTATTTGGTTTTTAGATTTTTTGTTTCTAAAGGAATGTAGTTGTATAGTTTACGTCTCTAATATACCGACCCGGTCATTTTAGAAATGTGGTCTGGATTATAACGTGTAAAACAGTGATGTAGGCAGCTTAATGACAAGTCAAATGTATTAAAGAGAGAAAAAAGTTGGGTTGAAACGTTTCTTCTACGCGGTATTGCCGGATCTTGCATCAAAATTTCAAACCGCACAAGTAGGTGTTTCCGAAAAATGTTGCATTTAGGGTTGGAACTTTATTTCACACAATTAGTTACTGATTTTACTACAGCTGTAATGGATTATATTTAGCTTAAATATATTATCTTCATTTCAGTAGTATACATGAAAGTTTTTAAAATAATTTATTTTCTTCTACACACATTTTCCTACAAACGTAAAAACCGGCGACACTGTATGCCGCTTGTTATTTTGTCTCTTTGTCTGTCAACCGGTCATTTATATAATTCTCTGTCTTACACGTTACCACACTTCTAAAATGACGTCGGTATGTAACAAATCGATGTAAAATGTTCCTTTTACAATGAGGAATGGCGATGTTCATATATTTAGTTTTAGTGCTATATTAGTGAGATAAGTTGGGTTTGTGTATACATGTAGTTACATACAGTCAATATACGTATTACTAAGCTTTAACACTACACACTTCCACACAGTTTAAATCGTTAGTTGACGACATAATTTTGAGCAAGTCTTTTGTATATGAAATATTTTTTATCAGGTAACTGTTAAGCCACTAAAATATAACTACATAACTAAAGGTTTAAATAAATTTGGGTAGTTTGGACCGTTTGAGCTATTCGCGGTTCCTCCTATTGGTCAGAAAGCCTGCAGCTGATCCTCTCTCGATTCTGCTAGGTGACCGGACAATTTCAAGGTAGGTTTAGGGACCAGCACAGGTAGAAATTGTTCAAATAACCTATCGGTTTGGCGAGGAGGATTCTGATGCAGGACGGCAGGTTACTATGCAGGAATGCAATCAAAATTACCTATTTCTTGATATCGAAAATTTACTTGGCTAAAATATCCGTTTATACCGTGAAATATACCTAATAAAGAGATAAAGCAAATATCTGTATCTTTGAGTTATATCTCCACTAAATCACGAATTTCGAAAAAATCAAAATATTTTTTTTTAACCAGGAATTAACGATAGTAATGATATACTGTTTCACGGGAAATGACTAAACGACTTTTGGTTTTTAAATGGCACCCTCGGTATTTTTTACTTTATTCGATATAAAATGACACTCTGAATAGAATGACATATCATATGTCAACTTGTGACATTTTCGCATATGATTTATATTTGAAATTTTAATATGTGGTTCATAACGACAGTTTGACTCGAAATACCAAGCGTGTGGTACCAAATTATTTGTAAAAGATGCTTTTACAAAAAATTTGATACCTACGTATCTTAGAAGATATGATTGAAAATACGATTTAGGCATCTTTTAACCGGCCAGAACAAAACACAAAGACCATTAGACGATCAAATATATTTTTCCAAAGATTCTTGATTAAAAATTATTGTTTTTAACACAACCATTGCACTCTAGACTGAAATTTAAAATACGATTTTTAAGCGAAAATGTCAAAAGTTGACATATGATATGTCATTCTATTCAGAGGGTCATTTTCTATCGAATAAAGTAAAGAAATACAGAGGGTGTCATTTAAAAATCAAAAAGTTGTAGTCATTTCCGGTGCAACAGCAAGTGAATGAAAACAATTAAATACGTCAATCAATCCTTATTTATGCCATATTATATACTCACATACCAAATCTTGTTTTTTTTATCTGTAAAAATTAAAAAAAGTTATAGGGGTGAGCCATTTTTGAGAAACACCGGGTATATTCCTTCAGTCCAGGTGGTCAATGTCATTAATATACTTTTGATGGAGCTTTGAAGTCAACAATGTGAAGAACAGAACTTTATTTTCCAAAAACAAATTGGCGCCGGGAGGCACGTATAGCCGCCCAAACTTGATATTTTTTTATCTCAAAAACTGCGACTTTGACTGATTTTGATGTTATTACAAATTTTGTTGTAAATATTATTCCTAATCTTAAATTGAAAACTGCGTTTCGCTACCTACTGTAATTTTGGAGTTACGATTTTTTAAAATTTTTAACCCCCTCCCATACCGCCTTACCAACCCCCCACCCCCACCAAAAACTAATGGCCAGATTCTCGGGTGCCACAGTATTTTTGTGCTAAATTTGGTTAAAATCTGTTTAGCGGTTTTTGAGTTATCGTGTGACAGACGGACAGACAGACAGACATGAAAATATTTTGTATTTAGGTCATTTATGACCCAAATAACTCATTTTGAGTGAAATTAAAAAAACTTTTTTTTGCCGATCTTAATAACCTAGCATACCTGTTGGTATGGTCGGTTAAAAAGTTATGTATAATTTTGAGGTGGGAAACTTCAGACTATCTTCGAATACCACGTTTTGCTAATGCTAGAATTATTAGCAGATAACCTACAATCATAAGCAGAAGAGAATAGGCTATTATAAAATCTCATGTTTAAAATTTATATTCAGTTTGTCTTGTAATTTCTCATTTGATAAATTTTAATTGCATGATAATTAAAATAATTATTAAATTCTTATTACCGCATGTATGTACAGGGTGGGTCAAATTCGACGCTTTTAAATGGAAACACCCTTTTCTATAGGAGATAGACGAAAACTAATATTGGTGTCTGGAGCTCAATTTTTGTCAAAAACATGATGGTGAAAAGCGCATATCGATATCTGTTACCGTTTCGGAGTTACGGGGTGTTTTTCAAAAATATGCGTTTTTAACAAATCGCTGTAACTTTTTTGCTAAGGAAAATTTTGTATTTTTATGAAAACATTTCCAAAGCACTTTTTTACGCAGAATTTAATGGTTTAAGTATAATTTTTTTTTTAAAATTAATAATTTAAGAATTATCAACAGAAAATTTGATTTTTTATATGGGACATCCTGTATATTTTTAATTTATTGAAAAGAATTTAAAATTACCTTTCCAAAAATGTAACACACTTGATATTTTGCTCTATTCCTCTTCAAGATATAGAGTATATAAAAATTCGCCCGCTTTTAAATAAGTAGGCTTTGAACGGCACCGGCTGTAATGCAAAAAATTCTAGCTGTGAGCATAAATTAAAACGAAAATAATATTTGCTATGAGAGATGCAGAATTTTATAACAATTTAAAATATATTTAACCAACATCAACACATTTAAAATATATTTAATAACAATAAAAATAAATAGCAAACCAAGGCATGAGATTTTGCTACAGGTGTTCGACATATCAACCGTCTTCTGTTATGGACAGACGGGGCAGTTTTTGAACATTTCTCGCGGAATTTATTAACTCAGTGGGGGTGAAAGATACCCTCTCATATCTGCTAAGTATTTTTAATTCTTGTCTAGATTATACGGAAGAATAAGGAACCTTTAATCTTCCGCAAATATATCCATAGGATTGGATCCATGGGCACTAAGTCAGGCGGCCTCGACGGCCAACGGTTGGGATTAGTTAGCTATCCAATTATTCTTGAAATTGGCTGCAAAAATTTGCTGATAACTTCAGCGTTAAGAGGCGGTGCGTCTTTTTGATGGAAAAATATGTTTTCGAGTTCCATTAAGGGCATATCACCAATAAGGGGTCCAAAGCCTACTAGTTAAAAGTGGCGAACTTTTAAAAATCCTGTATTTCGAAGGGGATTATAACAAAATATCAAGTGTGCTATATTTTTGGAAAGGTAATTTTATATTCTTTTCAGTTAATTAAAAATATAGAGGGTGTCCCAAATAAAAAATCAATTTTCCTGTTGATAACTCTTAAATTATTCATTTTAAAAAAATTATACTTGACCCATTAAATTCTACGTAAAAAGATGCTTTGGAAATGTTTTCATAAAAATACAAAATTTTCCGTAGCAAAAAAGTTACAGAGATTTGTTAAAAATGCACATTTTTGAAAAACGCCCCGTAACTCCAAAATGGTAACAGATATTGATGTGGGGTTTTCACCATCGTGTCTTTGATGAAAATTGAGCTCCAGACACTGATATTAGTTTTCGTCTATCTCCTACAGAAAAGGGTGTTTCCCTTTAAAAGCGTCGCATTTGACCCACCCTGTACTTAATTCTCAACAGAAGCAGCCATAAATATCTGTTCTATTTTATAAATAAAAGAGTTGGCTTTATATAATATAATAATATTGTTTTAGTAAAATAATACTTTTCAAATTAATATGGAAATAGGTACCATCTTTATAAATATATGTTTTAATTATTTATAACTTTACATAATACGGAACTTCTTCAACCGATTTAAAAGAAAGTGTGTACTATTAAAAAAATGTTTTAATTATTGCTTCGAAGCGCGCGTTAATAATTTAAATTATTTAATCAAAATAATTAAATAATATAACGATGGATTCGAATAGAGGATCACCATGTAGTCCTAGAAGTTCTAGTTCTAGCACTGGAACAACGCCAAAGAGAAGACCTCATAGTTGGCACAGCACTGGAGGGTCACCTTCGAAGTACAAAAAACGCCGATCTTTAGGTAATGTTCTTCACTCTCAGGGGTCGGATAAAGCGGGTGTGTGGCCGAAGAAAATATATACCGGGTGTTGGCATCGTCGAGTGGGACATAGGAAATCCCATGTAAATTTTAATGGGGTCAATTATTGGCTTCCCTAATTATTTAGGAGAATAATTCTATTTAGGTTTATTGAAGAGCACTAAAACCCACATTCAAAAGATTAACTTCAGATATTTTTGATTAGCTCGTTTACGAGTTATCGCCGATTTCTTTTTAAATATTTCTCCTTTCTTATGGCCCTGTATTTACTTATAAGCACCAGTCAAGGTAAAAGATAACTGTCAAATGAAGTTGTCGTTTCTACGACAACTTCAATAATAGAAATTTATCTATTTAGTGCTTTATTATTATTATTAAAAACTCATACCTACATCGAAAATATTAGCCATGAATTACACTACCGAAGAAAAAGTATTGATGATTAAATGGTGTTATCAAGGAGATAGATATCAAAACGTGTCGGACCTGTTTGCTGCTCTGTATCCGAATAGACCGATACCTGGAAAATCTACAATCGCAAGGAATATCCAGAGATTTGAGACCAAAGGTACCCTAATAAATAACTGCAGATGTGAAGCAAGGCAGGAATAAAGAGAAGATACAATAAATGATACCGACTTGGAAGTTTTATTGTGCGTGGAAGAGAACGATGGAAAGATCAGCACAAGGAAACTTGAGGATGAAATAGGAATAGGTCACACTACAGCGTTTCGAATTTTGAAACGACATAAATACTATTCCTTCAAATATGAAAAGCACCAAGAGCTACGAGATGGGGATGAAATGGCGGCAGGCGTTTTGTTTTGATATGATGGAAGGAGCAAACACGGATAGGGAATTTTTTAAAAACATATGTTTCACTGACGAATGCACGTTTGCCTTAAATAATGAACCCAATGTTCAAAATTATCGATATTGGAACAAAGAAAACCAACACAGGTTTGTCGAAACAAGGACGCAATATCCACAGAAAGTAAATGTTTGGGCAGGGATATTCGGACACAATATTATCGGGCCATTATTTCCTACGCGAAATTTAAATGCAGAATATTATTTGGAACTACTCGAAAATCATATTTTACGTGCTTTACATGATGCCGCTAGGGAAAATCAGGAAGTTTAGTACCAAATGGATGGCTGCCCGGCACATAGTACCCTGGCTGTTCGAGAATATTTAGACAATAGTTTTAACGGAAACGTTATTGGCCTAAATCATACAGTAAATTGGCCAGCAAGGTCTCCTGATATTTCGCCAAATGATTTCTTTCTCTGGGGCCATTTAAACAACAGGATATACAAGGATAAAAAATATCCGAATCTAGACGAGTTAAAAAATACTATTTCTGCCGAATGCAATAGAATTTCAGTTTACCAACTATCGAATGTAAGAAGAGAATTTTATGATCGCCTGGGTTATTGTCTAGCTGTCGATGGAGGAATATTTGAACATCTTCTTAAATCCTAAAGTTCTAACAATTTAATAGTACCTAAATTAATAAGTTATTGAACATTGTAAAAATACTATAATTAACCTTGTAATTGATTACTTTATTTTACTTTAATTCATATTAATTTGTATTTATAAATACATCTTTAAGGTTTCCGATGTAGAAATGAGTTTTCAATAATAATAAAGCACTAAATAGGTAAATTTCTGAAATGACAACTTCATTTGACAGTTATCTTTTACCTTGACTGGTGCTCTTAAGTAAATACAGGGCCATAAGAAAGGAGAAATATTTAAAAAGAAATCGGCGATAACTCGTAAACGAGCTAATCAAAAATATCTAAAGTTATTCTTTTGAATGTGGGTTTTAGTGCTCTTCAATAAACCTAAATAGAATTATTCTCTAAAATAATTAGGGAAGTCAATAATTGACCCCATTAAAATTTTCATGGGATTTCCTATGTCCCGTCCGACGATGCACCACCCGGTATATTTCAGAAATCTGCCTAAGGTTTAGCCCGATCCTGTGGTGTTAAGCCTCACCCAAAATTCCAAACACACGTGCTTTGATTAAGGCTTGATTAAGCTTTGCAGAGCTTCAGCATTTGCCATAAAATAGCGAGCAATTTGTTACAAAACCATATAAATTATATATCACTGTAATCACAAAACTTTAATCTATTTCTGCATTGTAACGGAATTATAAATTATGTCTTTATTTTCGAGAAAATTTAGTCCAAACATAAGGCATATTTTGTTGATGTTTGACCATCAAAAACTTAAAAATAAAGAAGTTGTCTAAAAATGTGCTACCATACGGATATAGTACAATCCTTTATCTTTAATTTCCTTCTTCATTTGTGTAAAAATACCTAGCCAGTTTTACATAAAACGTTAAATGCCGAACGCTTATTTTGCTACTTTTTCGGACTAGTGCAATGTACTCTTAAAGCAACAAAATTTATGGTTTTTCAGTGTGATATAGTAAATAATACGTTGCAAACTGTACTTTGTATAGTTCAGTTAAAGTATTGACAGGAAACTCAATGCAGAAGTAAAGTTTTTCTAAATTTTGACATTTAAAATGACAATTTTCGCAATTCTTTGACGTTTTAAAAGCTCATTTCGCAACTAGCGATGAAGTTAATGATTCGTCACTATAATCATTTCAAATATGCTGTATAAAGTAGATGTCTTGAATTTGATATTCAAAATATGTCACATATATAACAACAACAACAATAATAAACAGTGGATCGTTTTTATCAAAGATCATTTTGATTTCAGCTCACCCACGCAAAACAATGGACGGTCAACGCGCTTTGGAACTGATGCCCTTACTACAAGAACGCCTGGTGGTACTGACGGGAGGCAGGGACAGGAGGGGAGGACCCGTCCTGTCCTTTCCCGCCAGTCCCAGAAGGGAAAGGGCCAAACCGGAGGATTACAAGAGGTTGTTGCAATATCTCATGTCTATTCCAAAGTAAGTATTGAACAGAATCTCCTAAATAGATCATTTTTGACGATATTTTTTTAACAGTTTTTAAATATTTGACATCGTGATTGGTGATAAAACTCGATATCTTTTTTATTGGTAGTATTACTTACAAATTTTATACCGGGTGCGTCTCGAAAGTGGCTCACCTCTATACCTTTTTTGTTTTTTTTTCAGCTGAAAAAGGAGATTTGAGATGTTAGTATATGATATAAATTAGGATTAATTGTCGTATTCAATTGTTTTTAGTCACTTCCTGTTTCAGCGGAAATGTCTACAACTTTTGATTTTTAAATGGCATCCTCGGTATATTTCTACTTTCCTCTTTGAATAGATTGACATATCATTGACATAACTTTTGACATTTTCGCTTAAAACAAAATTGTATATTAAATTTCAGTCTGAGTGCCATGGCTGTGTTAAAATCTCTAATTTTTAATCAAGGAGCCTTAAAAAAGTAGATTATTTGTTCGTCTAATGTTTTTAGTGTCTTCTGGTCGGTTGAAAGATTCCCAAATCGTATATTTAATCATATTTCAACTTTTTTAAATGGAACGAGGGTGGCTCACTAGCATAAATTGGAAAAAGCATTTTTTACGAATAATTTGATACCACACACTTGGTATTTCGAGTGAAATTGTTGTTATTCAACAACAACAAAACATTTAATTTCAAATAAACCGTATGAGACAATGTCAAAAGTTGACATATAATATGTCATTCTATTCAGAGTGTCATTTTTTATCGAATAAAGTAACAAAATACCGAGGGTGTCTCTTCTAAATTTTTTTCTAATCTTTTTTTCTTCTGAATTTATGTATCTTCTAAATTTTTATTTGCCTTTAAAACAATACGTCATTGATAATGGTATTCCTATCTGGCCTTTGGCGTTATTTTGATATAAAAGTCCTTATTTTATCTCTTTTCATTTCCGCAATTTGGCGAGTTTCTTTCCAGAATCAAGAAACTCTAATATTTTAGATTTTTCGGCGAGTGTAAGAATTTTATGTGCTCGTTTGACTGGATGTATTACGTTTAACCCTGTAACGTTTTTAGTTCGTTACATGTCTTTTTTATATATAATATATGATGTCTGGCCTATATCATCACCGGATTCCCTCTCGTTCAGGCCGGATAGTTTATTTGACGCGTAATTTTTACGTTCCCTAGTCGCCAACCCTGTTATCGCTCTGAGGAGGCGCTGTCAACATCGCTTCTGTCAACTCGCTCCGTGCTTAACCTCACTTTGTTTGGACGCTCTGTTGTATCCCAGCTTTTAGAAATGGTGATTATTTAAGTCTTGCTGTATAATTTGAATCAGCTGCTATTTCGAGGCTACAGGGTAGAGTTACGGATGTCCCAACTTGTATTTGTGTTTTGCTGGCACGTTGGCGTCCCTTTTCTTTTGTCCTCCAGAATGTCACATGGAAGAAAGGACATGTTGTTTATTATTTATTGAGCCCTCGGAAGTATTTCGAGGATCCAAGGTACGGACTGTGTCCAAGGTACGGGTAGTGTCTTATGTACGGACATTATCTTATGTACGGATGTCCTGTGGAAGAGTGTCCCCAGTAAGAATGATTTTTTCTTACATATAAGTGCCACAGCGTGGATGTAGCTTGAGTCCCATGCTGCTTCGTTCCCAGCTATAAGCTAGTTAGTTATGGCTGTATAAATTCATGGTGTCCTCATTCTGGTCCCTTTGGTTGTGTTGGATGGCTGAGTACAGAGATGCGAGACCACCTCACGCTGTTACTGTTTAAAGCAGGATTGCATAAAGAACAGCTAAGTGTAGATTTAAGTTATAGTTTTGCATTTAACATTCAAAACATTTACAGTCTTAAACAATAACGTACATCTTAAATAATATCGTATAGACTATGTTGAGTGGTTAGATTGTTAAGAACATTCATGTCGATTTAGTAGTTAAAATATAATTTAGATCTTAGGTTTCATTGCATTATGTCTTGTAATAGTATTACTTTTTTATAGATATTATTATTGCACTAACATCATATAAAATATATCAAATTAATTAAAGTAATGCTACATTTCATATATTCTCTTAAACTTTACATGTCTTGTATTTTATCATAGTTGTTTTCATAGATATTTAGTACAACTCTTACCACCACTTTCTTTGACATATAACCACTACATATTCACTAGAACTCTACAATGTCATGTATCAGCAACGAACATCATGAATAAATATAGTCATTAGTTAAGGGCAACGGCCCAGCTACGTCGAAACACCGGTTCCCATTAGAACACCGAAGTTAAGCGACGTAAGACGATGCTAGTGGATGGACGGGTGACCGGTTCGAAACTTTGCATCGTGCTGTTGTCCAAAAGGGAAAAAGTGTAAAATCTATTGATACACACTGCTCATTCACGCCGGTTCAAGGCCGGATGAGATCGGATATCTCGTGAGTAAGAGTTAATTTAGACACTTCCTAAGTCGGTAGGCCATTGACCATGATATGGCCGAGGACCGCGGTTCGGATTCCGCGTAAACAAGTAGGTCCCGTCCAGTTTAGCCATTGCAGCAGAAAGGAGACGTTAACTTGAACCTCAAAATAGTCATTAGTTTTAAGTAATATACAACTGTGTTTTCTTTCTCTGTACATGCCTGGCGCCCAATATCTGTATTTTTTTGTTTATTGTTATTGATTAGTTTTCTCTCTAGTGAAATACCTTACCCACGACTGCTCTCCGATGAAAAGCCGCCGTTCGCAGTGGTAGTTCTAAAAAAAACGCTACAACCCGCTCTAGAATCCAATGCAGAAATACATACAGTCAGTTCATAAACAAAATGTAAACGTTTCAGGGTTTCATTTTAAACAATTAGGGATTTATACGCTTATTTATAGAAATAGAACCTTACGGTTTATGCAAACATGAACAATATTTTAAAAATAAAATATTGTAAAAGGAAAGTTTTGGGTTGCATACCTTTCTCTTTTAAAGTACTGACTTTGTGAAACAATCTTAAAGCTTTATTTTGTTTTAACAACTTTTTGAGTGGATTTATTAAAATCTATCCAAGAATAAATAAAACTTTTTTTAAAAGCGAGAAAGACGGAAAAGATAAAATACATTTCAAAATCGACGATTTATCGTTCCGAGACTGAATTTTCCGCGATTCGAAAGATTTAAATCTCACGGCGCCGGAAAAGTGTACGACGTTGCCAGATTTTTCCGTCTTTATGGCGTTCGCGATCCAAATTGTTCTGGATAAAATTTATTTTCCCAGTCGTCTTTTATTCCGGAGAACTGGATTTATTTTATCGTTATCGGTTCTAAACTGGACTGAGTTCTGGAAGTTAAGTTATTAGATATTTCTGATATTGACGCCAAACTGACAAGTTATACAGGTTGTTTAGGTGCTTGTTTTGTTGATTTTAGATATGAAGAGGTATATTTGTGGCCGGTCGTGGCTCGGCGCTAAGTGTGTTTGACCGTTGACCCGAAAGTACTGGGTTCGATTTTTACCCAATTCGGCCACTTTATTTGAATAAAAAATAATATTAAAAATGACATACAGGACAAAAAGACATACGATTAATTCAGTTTGTCAAGACAGAAACGGCGCGGCGCATAGTGGAACGAGCTTATGGGAGCGGTTGGACATTAGGTTTTTTACTTGATACTTTCAATCTGGAAAACTTAAAATTATTTATATATATACTGTAATATTATGTAAAGAGTGACGTCTTAAATTATAACAAAAAATTGTTGCCTTACATAACTTAAGCCATATATAGGGCGCCCTAAAAATATATATGTTTTACCAAAACCAATTTTTTTAAAGCCCATAACTTTGCTTCATGGTTATCAAATTTTTTCGTTTTGAGTTTTTTTGGAGTGGAGGAATTTTGAGTCTTATTAGAAAAAATATTTTTAATAGATTAATAATTTATTATATAGGGTGGAACAAAAATGAGCCTTTGAAAATTGTTCATTACTCAAACATTTTTGGTCCGATTTTATTATTTGTGGTAATTTTGGAAAGCCAATGCTTTGAAATATACAAATTTAATGTCAGAATTGATATTTCATAAAAATTGAAGATGACGAACAATTTTAAAAATTAGGTACTTTTAAGTTTGTATTTTAATAAACGCAGTTTTAGATAAAGTTAATGTTTTCTTGACAAAATAATGGTAAAAATAATGGTTTAGCATGTTTTTCTTTTCGTTTTTGAATATTTCAGGCAAGTGATAACCATATATTAAATTACTGCATATTTGAAAATTATTTGAACGACTAGCCATAGATAAATGAAACAAGTTTAGATTGGAAAGTGCCCATAAGGACAATATAAACACTATTTGGCGCTATTCTTGCAACGGTGGCGACCCAAAACTTTTGAAAATTTCGGAGCGGTTCGGCTTTTTCCGGAATTATATCACCAAATATTGTTTATTCAAATTTATTATTATTTTCGTTTAATTTTATAAATAAAATACAGTATGTTGCATACAAGAAACTTTATTTTATATAAGGACGCATGTATGAAATACCTATGAAACATTGGAAACCGACGTTATGCCACGATCCACGATGGTTTTTGCAGTTCACAGTTCACAGCACAGCTTTTTAAGTTTTTAATGCCACTTTTTCACAATTATCACCGGTTGGAGTAAATAAAACTTGAATTAAACTCACAATATAGCAATAATTACTTTGAAAATGAACTATAAACACTTTTCGGAATTTCTTTAATTAGAGCGGTTTAGATTTTCAAAGATTATTATGATTTTTGAAGATTCTGACTTTGACAAGAGAAAATTATTTCCGTTTTTGTTTGCCGTTGTTCTTAGCGACCGCTATAGCAGCGCCAGATCGCGTATAACGGTCGCGACCCAAAATAATTTCGCGACCCAAAATTTTTACGGGCTTTCCAATCTAAACTTGTTGCCTTTATCTATGCGACTAGCATTATTTGTGAATGTCAGGGTAAATGTCAAATAAGGCGTGCGGGA